TATTTCTGTATCCAGAGCTGTAGGAGAAAAAAAAAGTGTCTGCTTTTAAGATTATGAGAAGTTTCATCAGGGGGATGGTGCACCAACCCTATTCCCCACAAAAAAACAAAAAACAAAAAAACACATAATAATGGCAGATACCATTGGCAGTAAACAAAGCCACTTTTTTAATGTATTCATAGATTCAACGAGCTGTTGAAATTAAACTAAATAATTGTGAAACATTTGACTAGAAGTGTATAACAAATAAATTAAATCCAACTCCAGAATGCACACCTGCAGTTTCTTTAGGGACACCTGACCTGCTTGCGGTTTGCTGGCCCGTAAAAGCTTCTGATTCTATGCCTGCGGGCAACTGTAAAATGGAGATCTGCATGTCCCAAACCACTGACCGAGTCACATCCAGAATAAATGCTGATCAGGCCCTGTTTCAGCATCATGCCAAGCTCCAACTGCGCTTCTTCGGATATCTTGCTCTTAATGCTGATAACAGGAAAACTAATGGCAATTAAACTACCTGCCACTGGAGATAAAGGTGAAGCTGCTATCTGGTTTCAGTCCACATGAAGTACCATACACACAAAACTTACACAGTTTGTTGGGGGAAGAGTTTTTTTGCTGGATCAGGTTCAATAATCCACATAAATCACTTTGCAGAAATGTGCACACACTTCAAACACATCAAACACCGTTTATGTGTGATGTAAAGTCTGGAAGTCGAGAGCACCTTGGGCATTTTTCAATCTCTAAACCCATTCCATCACTGGGTTTTACTGCTACAGTTATGATGTAATGTACCTCTCCCTGAAGCTCCATTATAAAATCTCACTCTGGGACTGGGAATTGCTGACACTGAGTACCTCTTAAAGGTTGATTGTCGTGAAATCATGGACTCATAACATGGAATGTTCTGGAAACAAGCTTCTCCCTTATTGTTCATGGTCAATAAATGTGTTTAATGCTTTTCTAGGATCTTTTCCAACATAAATCACAACTATTACTCTGCGCAGGATGAAAGGGCAAAAGAGACTATTGTTCCCGCTGACCCTCACCACATTGAAGTCGTTATGACCCCAGAGTGTCATATAAAAGAATTCAATAGAAGTAGTGCTCTTGTGGATGCTAACTGATTTTCATTTTTTGTTTTTCTAGTTGACTGTGTCACATGGAGATCTAGGAATACACGAAAAATGTCAATAACTTAAATTCTAATCGTAACCCTTCTCTTTTGCCCCGCCGACTAACCAGTCAGATTTTCTGTACGTAGGCCAGGTGCATTGTCTGAGCTAGAAGTGCGCTGTCTGTGCTGGAATTCTTCTTTTATTTATGAATTTATTACCAGTTAAATTAATTTATCAGTAGTTGGTCAGCAGGGGACGTGGCAAAAGCATGACTGTGGGAGGAATGGTGGTAAATGGTGTGTTTGTGGAGAACAAAAATAGCATAATATGACCCCTTTAAACTATTCTAGGTAAATTGAGGTTTAGGTAAAGGAGTAGTGAGGCAGTACTCTTGCTTATCTTTATTGACGGGCTGAAGGGGAGGGATTTTAAACATGCTTATTTTTCTTAGTTAAATACTGTATTTAATCAATTTTATTATTGGAATATCCAAACATTTGTAGATCCATTGTGGCCGTGTTTTCATACTTATTATAGTTGGTTGAGTTGTAGTGCTTGAGACAGGTCTTGGTCTTGTCATGGCCCCGGCTCTCTATGATCTCGGTTGTCTCTGGTTTCTGTCAAATAACTCGGTCTCGGGTTGCACAGATGTCCTGGTGTTTTTTTAAATCCAAGAACAGAAACTAAATCCATCAACTAAAACAATAATATTGGCTATTTCTTCGCACCTCTCTTCAAATAAACCCAATCAGCAGCATATTTTCTCAAAACAAGCAGCAGCATTATTATTCTTTATTTTTTCAGACAACGTGAGCGCTCTGTAATGTCAAATGCTTGAAAGTGAGAAAACAATTTACAAATCGAAATCGCCTGTTATTAATTTTGACTTCACGGAGCACAAAGGATATATTTATACAAGTTTCATGAAGAAGAAACATTCAGCTCTGTGCAAATTTTGGCAAACTACATTATTTGAGACTTTCGCCAGGAATCTGGAGAAAAGCACCACAAGAGGAATGAAAACCATTCAATAGATTTAACTGATAATTCTCAAACAAGGTGGTGAAAATGTTCAAATCTGACAATGCCGTGCAATGTAAATGGATTATAATGGAAACACTGGCATGTCTGCAGTAAGCACGCAAGGTAATTTGTACAGGTTTTATATAATAATTTTCTTGAACTAACATCACCTAACCTCATCAACCCTGTTTAACTTTAGGGTGAAACGAACCCAGCCATACTAATAAATAATTTTAAAATATTTTAATATGGACATTTTCCTGGCACATACAAAGTAAAATGGTCATAGGTGAGAACTGTTAACATTATTCATAAATACTTAATTGAGGAATTGTTGTTTGATAAACAAAATCATAGAAAAACTCATTGTTTTTGGTCTCGTCTTGGTCTCAGTACTCTCTGGTCTCGGCTGGGTTTGGTCAAGGCAGGCTTTTACCACAAGACTTATAATTAGTGAGTGCAGTTGAAACCCACTGGGTGTCAAAAAAAAATGAAATTGGTCAGATTTTCTTAAATGTTTGCTAGTTTGTGGTTATTTTTTGCAACAGAACATACCATGCATACATGCGTTCTTCTTTGTGTAGAGAGGAACACTTCAATGTTGTGTTGGTGAACAACAAACAGTTGATTTTATAAATATAAGTCTTTATTTTCATGTTTTTTTTTCTTGTTTTTGCATTTAATCTTTTTGTATGCCTGACTAGCATATAAATCAGAGATGGCGCTAATTAAGCAAGAAGAAACATAAATAATGCCAGAGCTTCTTCATGTGCTGTAATGATCCTCTATGATTTAATGGGTAAATATACTCCTCTAGTTACTGGGAAATGGTGCATTGATCCTCAGCTATTCCCTATGCTGTCTCCAGTCTTTATATTATAATCGGTCTTATAATAGCACTATACCATTGCAAAGCCCACTTCAAAATCTATATTCTGTTATGGAATGCATTTTGAAACTGAAGGAAAATAGAAAAGCGAATCCATGGAATGGAAGTCACACACTGCTTTAGATCAAGTTTTTAATTTAGACTCACAATAAATGCATTTTTTATGTATTGTTCAATTCAATATTAGATTAGTTGTTTATTTTTGGAACAAGACTTAGTCGTTCAAGAGAGTGTTTGATTCAAGATAGTTGTGCAGGGCTTTTATGCAATAGGTTTATTAGGATCAGATGTATTTGTGTTGTGTTTTCAAAGGCCCCATGTGCGGTACTCTCTGCCGAGCTGATGAGGTGAAATGAAGAAACACTTTACTCCTGACCCTCACAATATGCAGCTCTTTTTAGCCCAGTATGTAGCAGTGCACACGCACAATGGATATTAGAAATGAGTAGAAGGCATGCTTGACTTCCACATACTCTACTGTCAGCACTTACCTCATGAGCACTTGTGTGTTATTCAGTATAGCGTAGCGCTATATGAGCTACTCACTGAAGCCCCAGGCTGCTTCAATTGAAGAGAGAGAAAATCGTTGTTGAATGCACTGATGCACTTATTGTGGAGGCTAGATTTTTTTTTTTCTCCTGTGTTCTGAATAACTGACTGTGCAGTTTGAAAAAACCGACTGAACTGGCGATTGAAGAGTATGCTTTTGGTGTGTACTACATTTTAGCAATTAAGTCGTGTGAGTCTTTATTGTTCTCCAAAAACATTTTTCTTAATACTTGCTTTAAAAGCTTATTTATATCATGGCAGTGAGAGTTCAACAGACTTAAGGTTCTTTGATAAAGTAATAAGTCAGCTGGCACTTCAACAAAATCTCATTGCTTTGAAGTATAGCTTCATTCATCTTTAAACTCTCTTATAAGTCCAGGAGTCTGGGGGTAACCAGTCAAAATAAAAAGCAGGTGAACACCTTGGATAAAATGTCAGTATAGAAAAGGCAATATTTTCAAAAGTTAATCAATATAAACACTGCCCCGGTGTTAAATGTAAAACGATGAGAGTTGAATTAGCACCCAGTCAGTGTATTGCACTAAACACTAAGCTGTGTTTATATTGGGCCAACCATTAGCTGTGTTTCCATCCTCCTATTTTTATGTGCATGGAAACACCAAGGTGCGCATACATTCTGAAAATGTGGATTAAAAAAATTAAGCCTACAATCAGATAAGAAAAAATATACATAGAGAAATTCATTTACAGAATAAATCCCAATACAATCTGATTAAGTCGCTGCCAGGTCCTGGCACTCCACTCTCCCATTGACAAACAATGGTAGAAGGTGCTGAAACTTTGATTATTACAAAAAAATGCTTTAAATCAAGCAAAACATCATGTGTAAATGACCAATAATGTGTCATAATAAAGGTTAGTTATGTTTACAAAGTTCAGAAATAAGTCAAAGGTAAGACACTGTTGTTTCACACGTGAGTAAGTTATTATAAACCAAAAAAAGCCAGCAACTTTTCGAAATTTGTCTCCAGTTTATTAGGAAGTGACTTTTTTTTGTTCTGTTGGACTCATTAGATGAAAACAGTGCTTTATTTGCAAATATTTATTCATTCATTCATTTTCCTGCGGAGGTTGCTGGTGCCAGCGCACATCAGGCGAGATTCACATCTAATGGGAATTTAGATTATTAAAGTAACCTGATGCATGTTTTTGGGATTGTGGGTGAGGAAACCCACGCAAGCACAGGGAGAACATGCGAACGCCTTCGAGGAAGGTGAGCCTTGAACTGATCACCCTCTAACTGGAAGGCCACTGGTACTACCCACTGCGACACCGTGCCTCCCTTAATTGCAAATATTTTATGCGATATTCCAGTTTTGCACATACATTTACATCGAAGCATTTTTATCCAAAGTGACTTACATTTGAATTAATAATCAGATTTTTTTGTCAGTACTTGCATTCCCTGGGATTTGAACCCAGGACCCTTGTTTTGTTAATGCTCTACCAACTGAGCCACAGGAAAGCATACAGCATATAGCATCTTTAACTAGCATGTTTGGATGGAAACATGGCTAGTGGGACCAGTTTTGCTGTTTTAAGACACACAAGAGCTACAAATTTGATTGATGGGTAGTCAATTACATTTAACTTTTCTGGATTGTTGTTTGTGGGCTTTTGTTGTTTGAAAGATTGTACTTCACTGTCAAAGCTCTGGCTTATGCCCAACATCTCTCATATGAGTCATCTCTTTGAAGGGCTGATACAGGTTTGGTTCTTGGAAGTTTTGAGATTGGGCAAACATTCCGAAGTGGGATTCTCTTCTGCTCATTATGCTGCCACTTAATTAGGTTTTCGAACATGTGGTAACCAGACCTCTCTAAAAGTACTCGTTCATATGCCTTTATACAGTAGGAGAAAGTGTGAAGGGAAAGAGTATTCCCCTTCTCAGAAGAACACACACGCCAATGCATTTGGAGGACGTGTTTGCTTGAATAGGACAGACTGACACATGGCTAGATGAGAAGTAGAACTGACAGTCCTGTCAGCATGAAGACTGCTGGAGTCTGTCTGCGTGTGTGTGAGTGAGGGAGAGTGTTCGATGACTCGGGCTCAAGCCTGACATGTGACAGGGTGAGGGCCCCAGCAGTGCAGTATGTGCGCGTGTGAGTATGTGTGCGTGCAATCCTCCAATCTCCACCTCCCTTTACTGTGGTTGTGTGAATACATGTGTGTTTTTGAGACGCTGGCACGGATCTGTCAGCTCATGTCTCGCCGTCTTTGGAGCAAACTTGCCTGATGTGGAGTGTGACACCACCTGTGGTGTTTTGTCATCCATGCTCGCTCAAGGGAGACACTGAGCTTGTCCGACAGGTGCCGTCACACCGTCCGCGAGCCGTAGGGTCCATAAGAGAATGAAGAGAAAGAGATTTTAACACTCCCATGACAAACATCCCAGCCCATGATTCTACTGTGTAGTTGGTATAATTAAGTTGTTGAATTAGGTAGGAAAGATGCCAACCAGGTAGGACAATTTGCTAGGTAATTCAAATTAAATTGTAAGAAAATGTTCAATAGCTAAAATCAGTGGCATTTGGTGGTGAAAAGAATAGATAACCCTTAGAAGTACAAGACCTGTGATATGGCTTGTGTTTGTCAAAGATCTGGCACAAAAAAACACAATGGGTCAAACATGCTTGAAACAGTGTTTAAGGTTAACATTGTCTTTGCTTATTTGGGAAATTTATACGTTATTTTCTCAGTACAGTTTTGATTTTTGTTGGAATTATTATGTAATGTAATGAAAAAAGGTTTGTTACAAGAAGAAGTTGGGGTTTTACTAAAAACTTTGGTAATTTATTTTATAGGTAATTTATTAGAGCAACTTGATGTGTTCTTGATGTGTGAGAATGCACTAAATGACTGTTCAGTGCACAACCTTGTGTCTTCCACTGTGCATTACCTGCCCACAGGCCATGTGAACCCATTGGAGGCTTAGCTGCACAAACATCTTTGAACCATTCCGACGAAACAAAAATGCAGTACATTTAAAGTGTGAGGAAAAAAAACAAATGGCTTTTAAAGAAAAGAATTGATGCTAATCAGCGCTTTCCTGAGCGTGCAAAATAAAACATGGTGGGTCTTATTTACAAGGGTTAATTTACAGGTGCATCTCAAACTATTGTAATATTATAAAAATATATTTAAACATCTGTTTTGTTAGACATTTTGATCTTAAGCTTAAATTGAATGAGGTCAACAATGGTTTACTGAGATTGATGCAGGAAACTGCTTTGCCACATCTTCAATGTCAATGTTTTCGTTTTGAATATGTGATCCCGAACACCGAGAAACTTCATAATTGGTCTGTAATGACTCATTATTTTGGGAATAAACTTTGCATGTAAAATCATTTAAAAACAATAATCAGCTGCACATTTTGGTTTGGCGCACCAGCTGTTTTTGGGATTCAATGACCCATGAAGGTTTTGGTGTTGAGGTCCACAGAGAAATGAAATGTTTACTAAAACATAATTATTTTTTCTTCATGGAAAAAAGCTTTCAATCTGGTTCCAAGGTAATAATATGCGTCTGGATTGTTGAACTGATAATTTTTGTTAAGACCGCTGAATGAAGGCTCACCGATTTCTGGCTTATTCAGAATGAAAACTGACTAGAAATCATCTCGAATCTGAGCAATATTACATTCTGATTGTAAGTGTTATCCATTCTTGTAATCTGAAGGTGAAAGTGCATTTATACTTCTTATTTTCCCGTTAAAAAGAAGAATGGATTGTTCTGTTCCTTTGCTCAGATCTATCTATGGTGACAGCTCGTCACTTTGGAAATATTACATATGTGAGTTCTGACTGATTTGGTGATATTGAGAAGCAGGTCTCTAGCACATATGAAAACAGCAAATACTCTTAATGTGTTTAATCAAGATCAAGCAAGATCACAGTTGTATTGGTGGTGTTTGAGGCTGTTTTGATTAGTCAGATTTTTGACTATCAACAAAATGAAATGGTCGTTATTTTTAATTTGTTTATTCAACATGTTACTACTATAAAAGCATCAAACACAGCATTGAAAAGATGCACCGATTAATTAATAATTCGTAGCAATTTAATGCTCACTGTGCAATACACACCTTGATATTATGTCCTCAACAGTGCACTGACAGTCACTCAGATTTGCAAACAGTTGCTTATTCACCATTTGATTGACAACGTGTTATCATTACAAATTAACAAAAAAAAAAAACGAATTCACATATACAAACTCTAGCAAACGAAAAAAAAGCACAGAAACATTAATTAAACCTTTGCCTGTAGCAATGGCTGTTGGTTTTCCTTTAAAAATAATCTGCTGCTTTGAGTAAAAGTTAAATGTGGAAAGTGTGTTGAATTTAGATACGTAATCCTCCATTTTGAAAATGTAACAATGCGGAAGAATAACTAGACGGCTACATGTGACTAGCTAACTATTTACTGTAGCTTGCTAATTCTATTATTATTTAGCCAATGTCATGCAATCTCTGGGATCTCCATTGCCCCCTAGCATGAAGCAGCAGAACTGCGTGCTGCACCTAGTTTCTCTTTGTCTGCGATTTAAGATTTGTAAGAAACATTACACACGTACAGTTGACATTGTACATTATGTAAGTCATCTGAACTATGCAACTTCATAAAACATTCTCTGCTCTTTCCTGTATTTGTTTAGTCTATTGTAGCTCTAAAATAATGTAACTAGGTTTCTCGAAAAGCTCAAGTTTTCCTAGCACTCCAGTCCAGGTCAAGTTTAAAATGGTGAAAAAGTCCACATAAATAAATCAATACGCATAAAGATAATGTAGAAGAGAGTGTGTGGGTGTGTGTGTACGTGTCATGAAAGAATGCGTTCACCCCCCTGTCTCTGCTGTTCTTTATTCCAGCAGGCAAACAATGCCAAGAGACAAAGAGTAGATAAGGAAAGACCAAGCAGAGATCTTATCAGTCGTTCTGATCTTTTATTATTTGGTTAAATTTGGAATCACTTGATTGTATCCATGAGTCCTGCTAATGCCTGATTTACTTGAACAGTCCAAAATGACAATTTATTTGTATTGATTTATTTGTGTGACACATTTGCGAACAGTTTCTGGGAATGCCGGTGTGTTATTTTGGTCTTGGATGAAAATGAATTTAGTTGCTCCTTGTATGTACTTATAGTCATTAATTGTTTGATTGGTTCATTTATTCCCTCAAATGGTTCGTAAATGGAATAGGATTTGAGAGCAGTGCCCTGTGCTGTCACAAGCAGCAAGCTTTGTGACCCATGCAGCTTAAATTGCCTGTTCTTTCCTCCTCAATGACTTTACTGCTATTTACATGGTTAGTCGGTGCTGGAATTTGAAGCTTGTTTGCTGTGATGGTCATTGGTTCTGAGCACAACCAAGTACGAGATGCATTAGTACACAACCCAACTGCAAATCAACATAAATAAAAGTAGCAAACATCACACCTTTTTTTACATGAATGCCTGAACAATCATATTTTCACAGTCAAGCAATGCCCGCGGTCCTGTAATTCAAATGGATTGTATGAGAGTTACAAACAATGAACCAGCCGTTTCCGGATGTTATCTTCAGCAAAAACCTCTCGCATGTGTTTGAGTCTAGCTATAACTCACTAGCACCCCCTATTACCACGTGTTCTAGGATGGGTGCACAATAAAGCCCCTCTCCCTCCTGGCAATCCTAACGTTTCATAAATGCAAAAAGCAATCCGTTCCAGG